GTACAATAGGATAGAATTTAAAATTGAAAAAGTTTTTTCCTTGAATCCTTTATTCCTACAGTAGTTTTTTTTCTTTTTAAATTTCAAAAGAGTTTGAAAATTATACACAAATGCAGATGTACGTATATATATATATATATACATATATAATTGTGTACATCACTTTTTAATGTTGTTTTTGGAGTCACGATAAGATTAAGAAGCACAAGGACATTGAAATTTAACAGCAATATAACAGAATTTTTTTCCTTTTGCTTTTTCTATTTTCACCTTTTTCCATTCTATTCGGTTCTATACTTTTTTATGGTTCCTACCTTATCACCAACTTTTCATTCATCTCTTCTTTTCACTCATTTATCTTTCTTTCTCTCTTGTTCATATTATGCTATTCTATCAATTTTTTTTTTTGTGACTGCTTCATTCCATTTTTCTTTTTATTATTTTTTTTTTGGTTTTTGATTTTTATCTTATGACAACGCATTGACGTCATAGTTTTTCCAAATTGTTCCTAATATTGTGAATGTACTATAATATTTAAACGTTATATGAATTGTTTTGTATGAATGTGTGTATGTATGTGCCACTTATGTATGATTATTGTTGTTGATAAATAAGAATTAGATATAATAAAATACATATGTACATATGTATGTATATTCTATTTTAAGTACAATTGTTTGTATTCGGGTATGTTTTGTGATACAGAGAAAAAAACAAAAATGTTGAAAATAATTTGATGAAGCTTCTTTTTTCCTTTTATGTAATAAAATTCTATGTACACAAATAATGTGAATATTATATTTGTATATAATCGTATGCACATATGTATATGAAAATATTTATGCATAAAAATGAATTATGATTATTAATATGTACAATTTCTGTATGCATGTATGTATGTTATGTTACGTTATAAACATGCAATAAACATACAAACATGTTTCGAGTCCTTATTTTTTTTGTATTTTCTAATATAAGCGAAATTTTGATTCAATTTATTATGGAAAATTTTAATGGTTTTTATAGCAATTTTTGTGATTTATTTTTTGTTTTTATTTTAGAGTAAAAAAAAAAATTCATCTAAGATTTATGTTTCAATAAGAACAGGGAAAACAGAAAAAAAAAATAAAATTTCCTTTCATGTTTTTAGTTTTTTTTTTTTCCTATCCTTCAACTTTTGTGTTTAAAATGAAAGACAAGGAACTAAATTTAAATTTTGAGTTTAAAATAAAAAGAAAAAATGCTTTAGAATTCTCATTTTTGATAAAACTGAATAGCAAATAATGATTGATGCTCTTCTGTTAGAAATTTCTTAGCAGATGAGCTATTTTATATTTTTCGTTACGTTTATCAATTAGACAGAAATGAGTCATGACTAAGATGTTGCTTTCTGTTAATCTTAGCTTCTTAGTCTGTTGATTGCCCACTCTATTGAAGACACTGTTGCTGCGAGATTACCATTTCACAAATTATTGTTTTATAATTCAAGTAGTTTTATAATTGGATTCAAAGTGACTAAATAATAATGAGTATTTTTTTAATTTGTCAAATGTTTGACAGTAAACTGCTGTTTGCCTTTGTGTTTGATCTTCGGACCCTTTTAGTTTTGTAATTGGTGCTTGATTGCAGAATCAAGCTTACATCTAACCAACTAAACTATTGCGCCAATAAAATCGAATGCGTTAAATAAAAATTACGATCAATTTATAAAAAAATACAAACTGATTAATTGCTTAATTGCATGCGACCATGCAGTGGGCGCTTGAATATACACCTATATGGAATGCAAACAAGCAATTAAACAGCAACAAAACTTAAAATTGCATGTCTGTCTCAGCGCTTAAAGTCAATTTATTTAGTCAATATTTGCAATATTTTAACACCATATAGACATTTTAGCAAAAGTAATCTTCACTTTTTTGTTATTTTTCAAAAATTTTTGTGTCTTATGTATTTGATATTTTTCAAATGAATTCAAATTTTCTATGGTTTTGGAAACAGTTTGCTCACATAACCTTTAAGAATTTATGATTGACCTGTCATTAAGCTTCCGACCACACATTCATTTGTTCCATTGTCAAAAATATAATATATACTTACTTTAATTAAATTGTGTTATAAAATCAAATTAATCTAGCAATTTATTTGCTTTATAATTATAATTAACATACCTTAAAAAAATGTGAATAATGTAAAGAATAACAATATACAAAAATGAATTATAATCTAGACTTGGCAATTTATTCGGAAAAATGAATTTACAATTTAGGACAAAACAAAAAAAAAACTCATTTTACAATATTTCTTTTAAGTAGTATTACAAGTTTTAAATTTAAATTACATACACATATTTATACACCATTTTTCACTCAAATTTTTTTTTTTTATAATTTTTTAAACCAGTCTTAATAATTTTTTTTTTGTTTTTTTATTTTAGTGTGACATTGTACAAAATTATATGTTTCGAATTTTTTAAAGTTTAAAAAATTATTTATGTACTTATTTTGTATTTACAAAAGAGATTTCTTTATTATATATTATTATATGTATGTATATAATAAATTGGTGCACATAAAATAATTTTCTTAAATAAATTTATTTAGACGCACTTTTTCAAAATTACTAGTAATTGAATTTATTTAATTTTAATATCAAAATTATTTGTTCTTTAAATTTATAATTTAAATTCAGTTCAATATTATTAAAATATATTGTATAAATAGCGGTGATAAAAAAATAACATAATCAAATAAACGTGCAGACATTAATCAGTAAAATACTTTGTGTTCAATTGCGATTTGAAATTGTTAAAAATGTTTATAGAAAACATGAAGCCAATCAGTATGAATCATATTTTAAAATTTTCCATTTGTGTCAATAATTGTATTGAAAAGCAATTGCTTTTCTATATTTCATTATTTAGGGGATTATCGGAAAGTAATAAATGCAGCATCGATGTAAAATCATCTAAAAATCTTGTACGCAAATCTATCAAACAGTTAAGATGTTAGATGTCGAAAAATGCCAAAAATACGCATCATTTGCCTATCATATTAAATCAACTGGTTATCGATTTTTTAAAATTTTGCATTGATGAAAAGTTTTTTAAATGGAAACTGAGAAGGAAACAATTTATTATATAAAATCCTTAACTAATGAAGTTAATTACTTTTTAATATTTTTTTTAATTTATTTAATATTTTTCAATATTAATATTTTTTAAATGGTGCATTATATTAAAATTTCCAAAACTTTACTGCATTTAAAAATTTTTTATGATATTTTCAATTGTTAATAATTTTAAGACTTTTAAACAAAACCTTCTCAAAGTAAACGCCAAAAAACACATATGATTTAGAAAGTGTCCAAAAAGGTCAAAATAATTTTACATCAACAAGGTAAACACATAACATCACCATAGAATCGGTAATTTTTTTTTTGCATCGACACTGCATCGGTTCACATTTTTGATTACTTTTCGATTATATCCTTTATGTTTCAAATTTTTAAAGTAATCGATTTTTTTGTTCCAAAAAGAATAATTTTAAGCTTACTTTTACTTTAAATGGTAATTAAAAAAAAAATAATTACTATCACTTGCAATCATTTTCTTATTGAATTCAAAAAATCACAAATGTCACTTTTGAAACCAAAGCAAGAGAGAACAATTGTAGATTGTAGTTTGTGATTGTAGTTTGCTATTGATTGAATAAAAAAAATATTGATTTAAGCAATTGACACTGAAGACAGTAATATTATCAAATTATTTTACTTTACTTTAGTTAACATTTAATTGTAAAAATTATATATACCAGCATAATGTGCTTATGAAACTAAATTGAAGTTAATAATACTTTTGCATTTTTATATGCATTTTCAAAAACAAAAATGATATTATTTGTAATAAACGTTTTGTTAATTAAATAATTTTTTTGATTTCAGTACAATAACACAAAATTTCCAATACACAGAAAAATTTCCCATTTTTGTAAGCAATATTGCAAATTTGAATTAATTACATTAAATATGTCAACATTTTCAAATTAAATGGTTTATTTCTTCAAATAAACTGCATTCCATTAACTCTGACATATTTAGTGTAGATTTTGTTTGATTCAAGTAAAATATGTTTGATTATGCAAATTAAATTTGATCTACATAAATAATTTTCCTAAGAACTCAACTCATTTCATATGAGTTAAAAATTGAGGCTTGCATATTTTTTGTTTGTTATTAAAGTTTTAATTATTGTATAAATTTGTATAAAAGTTATAATTTATTAAAATACTAAAATAATCCATTAGCAGTTTTCTTATCTTATGAATTTGTTAAAATCTTATTGAAATCTCAAAATTTAAGGAAATTTTGTTCAAAACTGTATTTCTATAAAAAACTGAATTATTATTTTTTATTTTGAAATTTTTAAAATTTAATTGATTTAGCTTATGACTTAAGACTTCAAGAAATTGATTGACCCACATACACTTTCTTATGTACTTCCATTCGTTTACAAAAATTGTATAGTGAATATAAGTGTGTATTTGAATTAAAATTATAGAATTAAATAATGAAATACAAAGGTTAATTTACGAAAAGAAGCAAATAATACTTTTCTAGATTCATTTTCATCCTAAGAGTTTCCTTGTAAATTGTTTATTAAAATCAAGTTTTTATTTTTTTTTTATTTTTGCTGGGTTTAATAGTATAAAAGTTACATTTGATAATTGATCTCTAAATTTGATTTTTGATTTAATGATTAGCGATTAACTATTAAGTCTCTAGTATTATGATAATAATTAATAAATTCGAAAATTCGAGAGTAATGATTATTAATTCGAAAATTCTTTTTATTAATTGTTATTTTAACTGTATGAAATATTCTATTAAATAAGTTTTCGAAATAGACTTTAATATTGCATATAGATTTTGAATTTTTTGAAGTTGCCATTTTATAGGAAAAACTATTTTTTAGGTACTTTTAACATTATATTGCAATTACTTTCCTAAAATCCAACAATATGGTAGTAAAATAAGTGAGAAAATCAAAACAATAAGTAATAAAGCTACTGTATACTGTCATATAAGTAATTATCATTAAGTTTGTCTCAATCAGACAGTAATTTGAAATTTAACAAAAAATAAAAAATATTGAAAAAAGCAAAAATGTCAAAATTTAAATTTCACGAGATTTTTGTTCTTTTTTTTTATTTTTGTTTTTTTTTTTAGGAAATTTTTTTTTTTAATTTTATCATTCAATTTTTGTTTCTTTTTTCATAATGTTGACTTTTTTATTTAAATAGCATTTAAAAAATTTATTGTAAAAAAATTAAGTTATAAATTCAACTACAAAATTTCGAATACTTTCTTTAATTCAACCATTAATGCCCAGTCAGATTTGAGTAAATCATCACGGAAATAGTCTTTACATGCATCTATACTTTGTCGTGATATCTAAATAAAAAAAAAAAATTAAAATTGTAAAAAATTTGTGACAAAATTAGTTTTAATTTAGTTTTATTTAAATTTTTTATTAATTAATTTATTTTTATTATTAATTTCTATGAATATTAAATTGTATTTGGCACGACATCATACAACTGTCGTAAGAATGTCTACTTTAATTGTGATTTCATTTAATATTATTATGACAGTCTCACGTAATGGCAAAAATTTGCAAAATCTTATGAAAAGAGAAAAAATGGAGTGATTTTTACTCAAAATTTTCAATCAACAGAGGAAAAAACGAGTAATACAAATTTTACCAGAACTTTCGTGTGTCTCAAACATTGTTAGTTCGTCTGAATTCGTATAAATTGTAAACTGTCCATTATATTAAAAGTAAAATATAACAATGAACCTAAATTCTGACAATAATCAGAATGGTTTTATAATCAGAGTCAAAAATTGTGATATTATGAAAGTTTAGAAATTAAATTTGCAAATTTTTTTTTTGTTATAAGTGATTTTATTTTGAAATATTCGAATTCTATTGTTTACTATTTAAAAAAAAATATTTACCTTGCTAACTAACATATCATCAGCTTCAAAATGTCTACCAAACATTTTTGGTGATTCACCGGGTATAGGTTCAATTTTAATACAAACTTCTTGTCCTTTTCGAGCAGATTCAACTTGTTTATGGTTTGATTCAATTGATGTTACAACACCGATATCAACAAACTGAAATTAAAAAAGATAAAATTTAAATTTTCTCTCACTTTTAACTCAAATACAACAATTGATAAAAATTAAAAATTTTAATTATATATGTATGTATGCACATCGAAATCAATATCATTGCTATTAAATAATCCAATTCCTAACAATTTAATTGGTCATCCTTTCGAAATTATGTACATATACATATGCATGTATGTATGTCAAAAGCTATAAATTTTAATTTCTCTTCACCGATTCTCATAATGTCATGCACTACAGCTATAATGGTTACTTTAATGTCAATGAAAAAAGTATTTTCATTCACAATTTCAGCAATAAACATAAAAAACAACTTAGCCCAAATGACAACACAAGGAGAATAAAAATCAAAATGAATCCGAAATAAAATTAAACTTGGTTACAAAAATCCAAGTGTGATAAGGTCACAATTTACAAGTTTTGTATTATGTATTTAAAATTTTTTATTGTTTCAAATAAAATAAGACAAATTCAAAATAAAAAAATTCCAACAAGATTATAAACTTTATTTTTTTTTTGTATTTTTAACTTTTAACAGATACATTAAGTGGACAAAATAAACTTTTTAAACTCCAACAGCATTATAGAATTGAAATTTCGTTTTAAACGCATATTGTTTTCCGTAAATTTTCGAATTTTATTTTAATTATGACAACTGAAATTTATGGAGAGAATATCAAATGCACAAGCTTCCATTCAAAAGAATTAATTGATTCAATGTCAAAAATCGATTATTATTTTCAATATTCCATTTTTCTAATGATTCTAATAATTAAAAAAAAAAATAAAGCATTTTTCAATAATTTCGATTATATTCGATATTTCGATACTTTTTTTTTGATATTATAATTTTTAATCGTGAATGAGAAATATTTTTACTCCTTTATTCATTTTTTCTTTCTTTTTGGGTACATCTATTTTAGTCTATTTTATTATTATGAGAGCGAAGAGAGAAAGGACCCATAACTTTCTCCTATAATAAGCACATATAGTATCAAACAAAGTTGTTTCAAAAATCAATTATTCGATGGAATTTGAAGAACAGTAGTAGGGTAAACAAATTATAGTACACTGAGAAAATAAACGAATTCCTAAGTATAATATAAAAAAAATTTCTATACAAGTTAGTAGATTTTTAAAGCATAAAATGAAAATTAAAAATGGAGAGTTTTAACTATCCAGACCTATAATTGTTTAAAATGTCGCACATATTTCTTACGAAAGGCCTGCAAGGACACTTGCAGATTACAAATTTGATTTTATTTACATATTCTATTTATACGAAATTTCAATTTTTTGCTTTCAGACTTGCTTTTTGCTTTTAAAAAAAAAAAAACTTTTTAAATGTTTTCCTCATTTCTCTCATTGATTTTTGAACGGAAGTCGGAGGCGGGATTGAAAATCATAAAAATAATATTTTAATCATTTTTGTTTACGTTGTTCATTTGTTATTTTTGTATCAAATTGTACATCAACTGAATAACATCTCTCACAAACATAAGAATGAATGACAAAAAAAAAAATAAAAAAACTTAAACAAATTTTTATTTTCCTTTAGGTTGGGATTGTAACTGACTGTATGTTGTGTCCGTATGGACGAATATATTGGACGTGTATGAGAGAGATATCTTGGGTAGCATATAAAAAAAGATACATACAAGTTTTAAGTGTCCACTTTTGGTTCTTATCTTCTTTTTATTTTACATTATTAGTTCTTTATTACTTTTGTCTTTTTTTCTCATTTTGTTTTTAGTAGTTAATTTTACATTCGCCTATTTAAAAAATCGAACAAAAGAATTATTCGTTGAAAATAATTCGAACTGAGATAAAGTCGAAAATTATGGAGTTGATTTTGTATTATTTTCAGTATTATGTGTTTATTTTGTTTAAAAAATTTTATATAAAAGTGTTTTTTGGGTAAATCTCGCGACCGTAATGTTTGTATTCTATTTAAGGAATCTAGATTATATTAGATTCCTTCTATTACTATGATCTATTTAATATACTATGGAATATTTGGAAGCCAATACATATGTAGTTTGTAAATAAAGAATTCTTCATTGTATATATAAATCCGGACATACAGGAGCAGAATCTTTTTTGAAAAATAAAATGTTAAGGGTTCGAAGTTCACCTTGTTTTAATTAAAAATAAAGCGACATTATCCGAAGCTTGAGAGTGTTATAGAGTTCAAGTGGTATTCGTTGAGAGTGTTGTGTTGTATATTCCTTAATGGAACGAAAACAATTACTTGATGAATATTGTGTATTATTTCTTTGTCACATTACCACTTTACATAAAATACAGAATTTTGTTTTTGTTCTTATGCAAGTCCAGATGATAATGGCGATCAGATTTTATGTTTTTTTTTAAATAAAATTTAGAGAGATTCCCTGTTGGGTTATTATGATTACGATTATTCTTACGATTTTCTGTGAATGAATGAATTCGATCGCGTAGATGGGAATAATCGAAAAGAAAAATAAGAAACGTATAGATTGTTTTAAAACAAGATACGTATTTTTACTTTTCATTTTTAGCTAAGGAAGGATTTTATCAACACCTGCAGGCAATAAAAAAAAAACAAAACAAGAATAATGTAAGAATCAGTGAATTAAAAAAATACATAAAATTTGGAAATTGAACAAATTTAAAAACGAGCTTAAACAAAGTAAGAATTTCTATTAATAAGCTTTAGATTCAAAAATATTGAATAATACTCTGCATTTCTTGAATTCATTTAAGCATTGTACACATTAATTAATTTTCATGAGCCATGAGTTCCTGCTCGAAAATGAGATATCTGAGCCCATTTAAACTGTTTCGACGCAATGTGGAAATATCATAAACCAACCATAAATGAACATAATACGGACATAAATGGTGTGCAACAGAAGAATATTTAATATAACTAGGAAAATGTTACCAAGGGTAAATTTGCTTACTGATTAAATTTACGTATCTGTTGACACGGAGATATTTGTGATGATGGACATAAATGGATGACATTGTATGAATTTTGAACATTTTTGAAGAATATAAGACAAACTCGTCTAATGATCTGTATTGTGATGCAGGGAAGGAGAAAATGGTGACCCACCAATTATACTCTTGTGAATGGTAGGCAGCCTTAAGAAACCTTTTAATCCCTTTAATCGAGCTACTGAGTTGGTATAGTATATAGACGTATGCTATTAATCGGCTTCTGAAAAACTCTGACAACAAATTGACATGAATTAAGCCGAAAATGTTGTAATCTGACCCATCTCGTCTGAAAGTATTCTTCGGAAAATTGAAACAATTTACCCTATATAATCTAAATTATTAGTCTTGAATTAAAAATTTTTTTTTTATTTTTGTAAGATTTAAACATTTATAAAAATATGACGCGATTGATTTCATTTTTTGACAACCCTTATTACGATACTCTTTTTAAATTGATTACCTTCTTTGATGGAAATGAATTAAAGATTCGTTTCTTTTGTCTCTCTCCCATTTTATTTCATTTAAGTGGCAATTCAATTGGATTGGAACAACAATAAAAAACAAAGAGACAGAAAAAGATAACCTAAGTACAATAATAATAAGGGGATCTAAATTACAATAACAGTAACACCAACAAACAATAACAACAATAATAATAAAACTTCTTATAATAATATGAGGACACAAAAGGATATTATATAAGGCTTAAAAGTAATAAATTTTATTCCAACATTTTATTTTTTTTTTATTTAACTCGATTAAAGACGCGTTCTTAACATAATTTTTTCTTTTTAACGAAAAATAATTTTCAAGCTACAAAAATCTTTACTAAAAACAAAATAATGAAAAAAAAATATCAACTGTAAACTCAAGATTAAAATCTTCTGTCGAGATCTGAGGGTATGCGTTCATTATAGCTTCGTATACCTTAATGAAAACGACCCACGAATAAACAATAAAAAAAAAAATTATAATAATAAATGACAACTACAGTGATTGAGAATAAAGAAAACAGGAAAACAAGAGGTAAGAGATCGGGCGACACGAAGAGTGATGGAGAACAGAAAAAAGGAATTTTTTATTTACCAGATTAAAATTTACCTGATCGTTTTTAAATAATGAGATCTTGATAAATTTAGCGGAGTCTTTTATTCTCTTCTTACAAAGTAGTAAAGAGGAAAGTAATAAAAATTGTACGTATATACACGAAAAAATAACTAAACAAAATCTGAAATAAATTAGTTTGACACTTAAAGAGAATTGTGAACAGAAATATACAGGCACATATGCACACGAAAAGCACAGAACATGTGATAACGGATTAACGGAATGCAAAATAAAGAGAGAGTGAAATTTTCAATGATTTTGAGTGATTCGAAATAAAAATCTGAATTTACGTATATGAGAAGAAAAGGTTTTACCGTGCCGTCGCTTAATTGCAACCGCAAATTGATCAATTTAAGTTTCATACTTGAAACAGGCACTCCCAATATACATATGTATTTCGATTTTTCAATCTAATTGATTTTTTGATTTTTAATTGATGAAGTGCCTATCATTTTACATTTTTCACTTTTAAATCTTAAAATATTTAAGCAAACATATCTCACACATATGTTAAATTATTAAACCATAAAATTTCAGGATCCAACATTTAACAACGAAAGTGATACTTACGTAAGCAGGGTACGTCAAAGGCTAAACCAACATGAATAGTAGCTTCATGTGAGCATTCAAAATTCCTGATTTTCATTAAAATCAGGAATTTTGAATTCAAGTTTCAGTTTTGTTTTTTAAATATCCGAATAAATTATGAATTAATACGCTCCTCTTAATTTTAGTGAATCTTTTGAACAAAATTGTTTTAGAAACTAAATTCAGCTTTTCTTTTGTTAAATAAGAAAAAAAAGTTAAAAATTTTACACCAATTTTTTTGCGTTTAATTCTTAATTTTGAAGAAAAATAAAAAGTAGAAGAAAAACGGGAAAAATTATAAA